AGATTTGCATATACTTTTTTGGAGTTTTTGGATAGACATAATATGAGCCGTCGGATCTCGTCTTTACGGATGGATAAGAAGCTACTGAGCCTAAAAGACGAGAAGATCTCAATGGTGCCAATACGGCGAAGGTTACGCCAGCTTTCGCCGTAAGCCGCAACAGTCATGATGGTTGAGTTGTACCCTATGTGTTTTCCGACTATAAACTCTGGCCGGTTAGCTAAAACGACGTCGTTTTTGGTGAAACATTTTTCGGCGATGGAGTGAGATGAGACAACATAAACGAGGCAAGTGCCGAGTCGGAGAGAGAAAATGGAGGCTTTGCCTAATGATTGGGAGAGAGAGAGAAATCTACGGTGGAGCGGCAGATTTAGGAGGTGGAAGTGTCCGATAATCGGCAATGTTCGAGTTGGACTCGGTGGTTGGTTTGGTTTGCGCCGCCGTGTCCCGAACAAGAATGTTAGAGAGAGGAAGAGGAAGAACAATGATAGAATTGGGTAGAAAAGTTCCATTATCGAGATGGTAGTTTTCTTCTTCTTTTACTATTTGTTATATTAGTTTCGAAACGTATTATGGCTAAAGCTGAATTTATAGTAGAACAGTGAAGCCAAAAAATATATAATATTGCTATGGCATGTTTATTTAGAGGGTAAAGATTATTATTTTAAAAGCTATTAATCAAAAAATATGTAATAAAATTTACTAATTTATTTTTGAATAGTAGATTGGATTTCAAAAGAATTGTCTGCTAAAATCACTATCCAGATTCTGAAATGTACGAGTAGGAGAATCGTTTTTTTTTTGAAATAAACAGTCTCTACATACTCAATTCAAATCAGATAAATGTTTTTGGATACAGAGAAAACCGAAAAAGAAGAGGATAATAGTTTTGATGATGTCACTGCCTACAAAACCAGAAGAGAGTGACAAAGGAAACGATTTAGCTTGTCATCAAAATATCTTATCCACATGACACGTGCAAATTGGGTCGTGTATTTAAACGTCATTGCATATGTCAGGATTGAGCTTGAGGCTCACCCAATTACCGACATAAATCTTTTGTAAATTTGTGGAAAAAAAAATATTTTGTAATTTTGTACAGCAAAATAACTTTTACAATTACACCGTATTGAACTATGGGTGTGACTGGTGAATTTAAACGAAGAAAAAAAATTATTCTGATTTCATCTCGTCCCACACAGAAGAGTTTATTTTTTGATTTACTGAATATTTGTGTTTACTGTTTGGAGTAAAAAATTTCCACTCGTAGGATTTCCTCTGATTTTCCTTCCTTTTCGGTGGGCCCAGATAAAAGTAGAAGAAACTAGTATATTTATAATTTTCTTCTAATAAATATCGGACCCTATGTGATATACCAAAAATGTGGTGGTGAAGCGTAATCATACAAAAAAAAAATAGTTTTCCTGTGCTTACTTGTACTTTTCGTACTTAAAAAGTTAAAATACATCATCATCCAGATCGTTTCTCTTGACATTTAAGTTCGATTTTGTGCTAATTAGACGAAAGCTTAAGCGCACAATAACTAACGTATTACCGAGTTTTTTTGTTGTTTTTGTTGATAAAATGCAAAACCGAGTCTTGCATCCATGCACACGTATAGTAATCAAGAAAACATGCGATATTATTATTGAATTTTGAGATATGCGAGTTTTTGTTAATGGTTTACACAAATATAGATAAATATCGCATGGCGTTTCCCTCCTTCATATTATTAAAAATTAAAAATGGTAAAAAATACTGATGAACTCATGACTCACTTCATCTGTTGTTTAAATCCATAATTTGCGCCTTCGCTCAGTCTAAGTGTTTGTTGTGAGAGTGGCTCAACGACCTGAATCCGTTTCCTCCGTTCACCTTCGCCTTACCAGCCGCGTCGAAATGAGCTTTTCCTCCTAACAGTCCTCCAAGTTTGA